TATAGATTCAGTGCAATCCCAATCAAAATCCCCATGACATACTGCACAGAATCAGAAAAAAAAATCCTAAGATTCATATGGAAGCACAAAAGACCCCAGATAGCCAAAGCAACCTTCGGCACAAAGAGCAAAGCTGGGTAGATCACTATACCATATCTCAAAGTATAATACAGAGCTATAGTCATAAAAACAGCATGGTGCTGGCACAAAAATAGACACATAGATCAATGGAACATCATTGAAGAGCCAAACCTGAGTACACACAATTTCAGCCACCTGATATTTGACAAAGGTGCCAAGAACACACAATGGAGGAAAGACAGCATCTTCAACAAATGGTGCTGGCAAAACTGGATCTCCACCTGTAGAAGAATGAAACTACATCCTTATCTTTCACCTTGCACAAAGGTCAACTCCAACTGGGTCTAAGACCTCAATGTAAAACTGGAAACCCTGAAACTATTAGAAGAAAATATTGGCAAAAACCTTAAAGGATACAGGTGTAGGAAAGGATTTTCTAAATCAGACAGAATTTGCTCAGGAATTAAGGTCAGCAATCAACAAATGGGACCTTATTAAACTAAAAAGCTTCTGTACAGCAAAAGAAACAATTAAAAAGTGAAGTGAAAACCCACAGAATGGGGGAAAAAAACCACCAGTGATGCACCTGACAGAGGTTTAACATCCAGAATATATAAAGAACTCAAAAAACAAAGAATCGAGAAACCAAATGACTCAATTAAAAGATGGGCTAAAGATCTGAACAGAAAGTTCTCAAAGGAAGAAATAAAGATGGCTAAGAAATATCTCAAAAAGTGTTCAACATCATTAGGAATTAGAGAAATGCAAATTAAAACCACCCTAAAGTATCACCTTACCCAAATCAGACTGGCTAGGATCAAGATAACAAATGATACCAAATTTTGGCTAATGTATGCAATCTGGGGAAGGCTAAGAAGAGAAGGCATGACCCTTGCTGTGCAAAGGCTTTCCAGTGTGCATACCCTCGGGTCGTACATATACCTCAGCAACCCCTCAGTTATCTCAGTAAGTAAGCTCAATAAATTCATTGGTTCCACAGTAAAACTTTAACAAAACATGGGTTGGCACTAGAACCTCAAAAGGAAATAAACATTGCTTAGTATCCCTAGGAAAGGAAGACTCACAATAGATGGAAAATTCGTTAATCCTATTGTGTCTCATAATTATTTTTTTAAAAAATGAAAATGAGAATGTAAAAGATGTTAAAAAGGATATGGGAATGGAGATATTTTCCAAAATAGAAAAAAAATGAGAAAGCCTAAGCAAGTGATGAAGGTCTGTGTAAGTTTGTTATGATATATAAAGGATGAGACAAAAATAATATACACATAATCTAAAATTTCTAAGGTCATAGTTTAGTCAACTAGTTTAAGGAACAAAATATATATCTAGTCAAGGTTTATCTGAGAATATTTGGTTTTTTTTACCCAAGCCTTATCTACATAGCACATGGTAAGAGAGAGGACCAGACTGGTGGAACTAAACTTATTGGATGTTTAACAGCCATAGCTTGAGGCCTGTATTAATGTGGTCAGAGGGCCTTAAAGGACAGTTTTTGCCCCTTGCCCTCCAAGGTCGACTACATTCCAGGGGACTATGGAACATCTCTTAAAGTGTCCTGTAACTGTAATGAGTCACCTGTCCTCTTGTTCAGGGAAGTCATGGAGACCCCACGAGATAGCCTTGAACTAGTGTCCAGTCTACAAAGAAGAAGGTCAACTCAGAGGAAACACCTCATCCATGCTTCCAAATGAAGCCAGACATGGTAGAGCAGGACATTTGACTTCTCTTCATATAGATGGAACTGGTAAAAGTAAGGAGCCAGGGGCTCCTTCCAAGCCCATGGGACCCCTGAGGAACAGATCCTCAAATGACCTTAAGTATAAAAATAAATTGACGTATTTGGACTAACTGTATGGTCTTAAACACCCCCAAAGGAAAGTATAACCAAAGAGTAAAGTCATCAGTATATTTCTTTAAGAGTTCAAGGGATTACACTTCCCAGAACATTACCAATATAATTTAAAGATAAGATTCTGGGAAGAGTGGCTGTATGTAATTTGACCCTAATCACACATGGCTTTCTGGAGGGCTAAAGTATACAATCTGACAAAGGCTAGGAAGAGAAGGCATAACCCATACTTGGTAAAGGCTATCCAGTGTGCATATCCTCGGGTCATACATACACCTCAGCAACCCCTCTATCTAGAAGCCTTTGAGAGGGAACTGACACTGATTCTAACTACTCTAACAGTTATCAAAATACCTGAAAACAAATCCTGAATCCATCATCCTAGAATCCAGCCTTGAAAAGACGTTTCTCTAGTTCCCCGTCTAGAACTTGTAATGCTAATTACTCTTGCCTTTACTTCTCCTTCATGTCTTCTATTCACAACTCAAGGACTTCCTTTTCCCCTTAGAGATAAAAGTTATGCTATTTGGGAGTCTTTTAGATGGACCCACTGAAGGGGTACTCCAATTGCCTCACTCTGTGTCCCTGTTCAACATGGAAGAAGCCACAGCAGTCTGCATCCTGATTCCCTATTGGCAATTTGGGTAACCTCTTCAGAGGATGGTATGATATCAACTGGGCTTGTCGACAGCTATGCTCACTCAATAAAGGACTGCCAAGCAGGGTCACTGGACCCTCACCTGAGTATCCAGCCACTCTTCCCAGACAACTAGTCCAGCCTTGGAAGACAAAAGAAAACTGAGGAAGAACCCAATAGAGGGATGCTTTTGGAAGCCCTTGTCAAGAAACTCCAATGGACTCTCATATGAACATTTGAAAATTGCCCTGTTCTGACTTTTTTCTAGTTCCCTGTCTAGAACTTGTAATGCTAATTACTCTTGCCTTTACTTCTCCTTCGCATTTCCTATTCATGATTCAAGGACTTTTTTTCCCCTTAGAGACAAGAGTTATGCAATTTGGGAATCTTTTAGATAGACCCACTGAAAGGGCAGTCCAATTGCCTCACCCTGCATCCCTGTTCAGCATGGAAGAAGCCAGAGCAACCTGCGTCCCTATTCACTATTGGAAATTTGAGTGACCCCTTCAGAGGATGGTGTGAGAAGAATAGGAGGTAGGAATTGGCGGCTAGGCAGTTAGGGTAAAAAGACCCCAAAGAAAAATAGCCAGTTTCTTGGCTAAAAGTCAAAATGTCCTTGGGCCTCTTAGCAACATGCTCTGTTCCAAAGGCCAAAACTGTTAAAAGTATTTGGGAGCTTGTATCTAATCCTTAAAAGATTTTAGGGTTACCTCTTCAGAGGGGGGAATGTTAGAGTAGCCAAAAGCCCCATAAAAATAAATAAATCAAATAAGAAGAAAGAGAAAAAAACTATGGAGAGCATATATGAAGATATCTGACATTGACTACTTGTATCCACACATGCACAAACAGGAACACACACACACACACACACACACACACACACACACATGAAGGGAAAGACAGAGGGAGGGACGGAGGGATGGAGGGAGGGACACAGGGAGGGATGGAGGATGGATAACCGCAGCTAAGAGGAAAAGAAATCAATTCTTGGGGATTACTAAACCTTTAAAATTTACTCTTTAGAAGCCATTTCAAGGCATGTTTATCTGGAAGTAGAATGTGATCCTTTAAAATAATGACTGTCTTTAACATAGCAGTTTTTTATAAATCAGTATAATTTTCAGCTTGCTTTATTTGCTCATTTATCCTTTACTGTCTTCAAATTTTTAAGTTAAAAATAAATAAAATATTTTAAAGTTAAAAAAAAGAAATTCTTCATGAAATACACAAAAATTCAATTATTTATCCCCCCAAAAAAAGTGTTCTGGCTACAGGGAAATGGAATAGAGGCATGGTGCACAGGATCTGACTTACCAGACTTGTAGGTGGGCCAGGCTGTGTCAGGCTGATCAGGAGCCAGGGGAAGATGGCGGTGGGGACAACCTGAAGACAGACTTAGCAAACTATACGCTATAATGTTTAGCTAGTCTGGACCAGGAAGGTAGTCCAGAGATCTGAGGCAGAGGAATTGTATAGCAGGGGATGGGGTGGGAAGGGTAGATTGGAAATGTTGGTGCTACAGGAGAATGGAATCTCAAGTTACTTTTGTTGGGTATTTTGCCACAGCAATGGAAAAAGTAACCAATATACCCTTATACTGATTTCCATAGCAGCTGGATCAGTATATCCAACCAGCCAGTATAATCATCCCTCTCCTCATAATCTCACCATCATTTCTTGATGTTTGTTCCCCTCTTAAATAATATCTTTATTACTTCTTTGAAAGCATCATATAATGTATTTTGATCATATTTACCTCCTTCCCCCAGGTCCTCCCAGATTCACCCCCACCTCCCTAGCCACCAAGTTCATATCCTCTATTTTTTTGTGCCCATGGAGTACAATTTGTGTTGTTTAAACACTTTTGGGTATGGGGCCATCCCCTGGGGTGTAGTCAACCTCCCAGCAGCAATCAATTGCCAGTAACTCCTCAGCTAAGGGTAGGTTTGCATGCCCACCTCCTCTCCATTTCCATGCTAATCTCACAATGTAGTAAGGAAAACACACAAGGAAATACCCAATACTGTTAAAGAGTAGAGCGAATAATCGAATTTCGGCCAGAGGAACAAAGAAGTCCAGGGTAGGAAGTAACTTCACTTGTTGGAGGTGATTAGTGAGGAATGACTCTACCACGTTGCTGTTGCAGATCTTCCAGGGCACATAAGGACCTCATAGGAACAAAAGCTCACATTTGTAAAGATCAACAGATATAGTTTCTTTGAATTTAATGTATTTGGAATGAGAAAAGCCAAAAAGGCAACTGAAAATCAGAGAAAATTTAATGCCAATGGATTTGTTTGAGTTTCCAAAAGAATAAATACTTACAAAGAATATTATTTCAAAGGTCATAGCATAGGGTGTTCATTAACTTTTGACGACGCCCAGGTAGAGTGGCCACCTCAGACTTCTAAGTTCCAGCAGAAACAGGCGGCCTCTTCTATTGACTACAGCCCTGGCTCCTCATCCTTTGCCAGAAGATAAGCACTGCAGACTGACTGTCAAGTGGGCACAGTAGGGGAGCCTAGCAAGACTCCGCTGGGAGGAAAACTCCAAGGACAGAATTACTGAGGAAAGCTGGGATGGACCCAATCCTGAACCTTTCCATAGAAGCCTGGGTGCTGTTGGCTACCAGCCTGGTGCTTCTCTACATGTAAGTAACTGTTCAGGCTCCTCTCCTTTCTGTACCTAGAGTTAGGGTGATTTTGAGGCCCCTTTTTTCTTTATCTGTTAGAAGATGTAAAGAGATCATGAATTAAACACGGGTAGTTCCTATGCATCCTACACAGTCTTTCCCAGGAAAGACTATCTAATCCTGTGGCTAGGAGGGTTTTGATAAGATTTGCTCCTGGGATGATGTAGTTGACTCTCTGCACCTTGAGCAATTAGTAGTAATTCTGTGATGTGACAAACAATTTTGAGGGCTGGAGAGGTAGCTCAGCAGTTAAGAGCACTAGCTGCTTTTGCAGAGGACTGGGATTTGCTTCCCAGCACCCACAAGATGGCTAACAACTATCTGTAACTCCAGTTCTAGGCGATCCAATGGGCTCTTCTGACCTGCATGAGCATTGCACATCACAGGTGCACTTACATACATGTAGATAATATACTCATACACATAAAATAAAAATAATAAATAAAAATATTTTTAAAAAACAATTGCCACTGTGCTGGTCAATTTTTTTTAACTTTTACAAAAACGTTATTGAGAATTTCATACATGCATATAAGATGTTTTGATCAAATCCATGCCCACTCCCTCCCCCCAACATCTCTCATATCTACCCATGACTTTTTTCTTTTTCTTTTCTTCTTTCTTTCTTTTTTTTTTATTTTTTTGAGACAGGGTCTCCCTGTAGCCCCAGCTGTCCTGGAACTCACTATGTAGACCAGGCTGGCCTTGAACTCACACAGATCCACCTGCCTCTGCCTCCCGAGTGCTGGGATTAAAGGCCTGCCTCACCACACATTAGAGTTGCTTTTGGCAACTCTAATATTCCCCCCTCTGAAGAAATAACACTAAAATCTTTTAAGGATTAGGTACAAGCTCCCAAATACTTTTAACAGTTTTGGCCTTTGGAACAGAGTATGTTGCTAAGAGGCCCAAGGACATTTTGACTTTTAGCCAAGAAACTGGCTATTTTTCTTCGGTGTCTTTTTACTCTAACTGCTTAGCCAATTCCTACCTCCTATTCTTATCACACCATCCTCTGAAGGGGTTACCCAAATTGCCAATAGAGAATTGGGACGTAGACCGCTCTGGCTTCTTCCATGCTGAACAGGGACACAGGGTGAGGCAACTACTAAAAGACTTCCAAATTGCATAACTCTTATCTCTAAGGAGAAAAGAAAGCCCTTGAATTGTGAATAGGAGATATGAAGAAGTAAAGGCAAAGTTCTAGACAGGGAACTAGAAAAAAGTCAGAACAGGGCAATTTTTTTCAAATGTTCATATGAGAGTCCATTGGAGTTTCTTGACAAGGGCTTCTAAAAGCATCCCTCTATTGGGTTCTTCCTCATTTTCCTTTTGTCTTCCAAGGCTGGACTCTAGAGTGATGGATTCAGGATTTGCTTTCAGGTATTTTGATAGCTGTTGAAGTTAGAATCAGTGTCAGTTCCCTCTCAAAGGCTTCTGAAATAGGGGGAGAAAACAAATTTATCTGTCATTTTAGAATAGCTAGTTGTCTCCCTTAGATACAGGTGGGCACTACAGTATTGAAGACCAAGATTTGAAGTCTTACAACTGAGCAGCACTTTCTGGTTAGGAACAAAATCATCAATGAGAAATAATTGTCTAAATAACTTTTTATATAGACTTAAGCCTAGTGTCTGGGATGTGTAATCCCTGGAACTCTTAAAGAAGTATACTGATGACTTTACTCTTTGGTTATACTTTCTGCCCTAGTTTGTTCTTCACTGCTGTGACAAAACACTCTGACCAATATGAACTTGGGGAGGAAAGGGTTTATTCAGCTTACAACTCCCAGGTTGCAGTTCATCAGGGCAGGAACCTGGAAGCAGGAGCTGGAGCACAGGCCATGGAGGAATGCTGCTTACTGGCTTGCTCCCCTGGCCCCTGCTCAGCCTGCTTTCTTATGCTACATAGGCCCACCTGCCCAGGGGTGGCACCACCCACAGTGGCCTGGGCCTTCCCACATCATTCATCAAGAAAATGCCCTCAGACATGGCCACAGGCCAGTCCAATAGAGGAAATTCCCCAATTGAGGCTCCCTCAACCCAGGTGTGTCAAGTTGACACTAAAGCTATCCAACACAATTGACCCCTTGTCAACTTGACACACAAACATCACTATTAAACCATAACTTTCCAATTTCTGTCCCCAAGATATTATGTTAATATCACAACATAAGACAGTACAACCTTAAAAACCCCACAGTCCTTAAAAAATCCAAACACATAAAATTTCAGTCTCTTTTTAAAAGTCTCAACTGTGGGTGGGCTTCTATGAAATCAAAAACAAGTACTGTCTTATTTCAAAGGGAAGAATTGGGCACACCTAAGCAAAACCAAAGTCCAGCAAAGTAGCTCAAGGCTGGATATCTGGGATTCACTCATGATCTTCTGGGTTCCAAAGGGTACTGGCAGCTCCACTGCTCTGACTCTGCCGTCCACCACACAAACAGCTCGTCTCGCAGACCCAGGCCAGCTCCATTCCACACTTACTGCTGTCCTTGGTGGTTGTCCCATGGTCCCAGCATCTCCAAAAAGCTGGAGTCTCCACTGAAACTGAGGCTGCACCTTCACCAATGGCCTCTTCTTGCCTCTTGGGGTGCAAAGCCTCAGAATCTCTCCATGATCCCTTCAGTTCTGGGGTCTTTGCTGCAACTGAAGCTACACTTTTGTTGTGGGTTCTCCTCAGGCCAGCTGTGAAGACCCTGAACTGGATCAGGTCCCCTGCTGATTGGGGTGGGGCAAGAGGCATAGAGTCATGACACACAGACCCCGGGAGTCGGGTAGAAGCAAACACTAGGCAAGGTGCTGCAGGCTCATTTAATGCAGGAAGGGGCAGGCCTTATATTTCCCTTTTCTCCGCCCCCAAGTCCCTTTAGTCAGCGTATCATTTTCTGATTGGTCCGCACCACGCAGTCTGTCAGCAGTCACTGGGCTCGTGAGCAGGGTATGGAGGCGCAGGCTCATTTTGGCAGGCTATTTGCAGACCAAGAAGTGAAGTGAATTATCACTGAATCCCAGGGCTCTGGGTCCACGCCATCTTTGGAGGCCTCCTGCTACATTTCTACCCCTTTTCTTTAAAAATGACTGTCCAGCGAGAGCCTGTAGGCAGCTCTGCCTCGGGATGACTCCAGGATCATGGACTATGCCTGTCTTAGGTTGTCCTATTCGGGCATGAACCTTACCCGTCATTGGAGCATGGGCATACACGTCCATGTCCTGGCTTAGGTTGATTCAGCCCAACAGGAGCTTACCCGTCTTTGGCTACCAGCCCTCCAAGGGGTATTGTCCCAGGGGATCAGTCGAGGTGGGGAATTATCTGTAGGAGGCCTCGTACATTTGTGCGAGCCAAGTCTGTCGGGCTGCATAGGGTGGGTTGAAATCATCTTCATGTGTTGCTCTGAGGGCCTGATACACTGAGTGACTGACTTTTTTCTGACTGTGGGAACAAAGAACAAGGCATTTAAGAAGTAGAAAGAGAAGAATAATTATGCCTGTCAGGAGTAGGTAAGTGACGATCCAAGACAGGTCACACGGTGCTTTTAGATTAGACCAGATTTTCTCTAAGAACCCTGAATTGATGTCCAGCATGGGGGCGCAGGTATAATTTAGAGCAATCATTTGATTAGTTAGTAATATAGAGTAATTAAGAAACTTTTGATTCCAGTGGCTGTGAATATAGTGCACAAGTTGTAGGCACGCTTCAGTAATATTCTGTACTTTATAGGGGGTGAGACAAAGTGACCTAAAGTGAGGGTCACAAGCTAGCAGAGCCATGTCTTTGGTAATTGCCAGCTCTTCACTTAAGAGATCAATTTGTTGTTGTAACACATTAATTGCCTAGTGAAGACGCTGATTGATAAGGGACTGCGTGTGAAAGGTAGAGGAGGTTTTGGACACGGCTTCGTTGAGTATCTCCACAGTAGTGGAGGATTGAGTGATAGCCACTGCAGTGGTGGCGGCCGACCCTAATGCAAGGATGATGGCTAAGATGAGAGCAGCAGTGACCCCGAAATCCCATTTTAAGCAGGGGGCTTGTGACAAGGCTGTCTGCTCTATAAGGGTGACAGCATGAAAGTGGGTTGCATTGGTGACTGGAATCCAAAGGGCCATGGATTCATGCCTAAAGAGAACTATGTGAGCTGGATGGTTTCAGCAGGCCGCCAGCACACAGATGGTGTTGGTATCTGAGCAGTTGAGTTGTCCCCAAGGGTCAGAGGTAACATTGGCTAGCAATAAGGCAAACAGGGGCCACACGCAAATGGGGGTGGGGGCCAGGATGTCGTGTGATCAATGGATGTAAGGATTTTGGTTTTGGCACAAGTAGAGGGATTGGTGTTAGTGTAAGTGCCGTTGGAAAGCTGAAGGCCCTGTTGTGCCAGTAACAGCCTCATGTCCATGCAGGCATGCAGACCACAGAGGTCCCAGGTACCGAGTATTGATTCGCGGTTGGTATGGGAGATCTTAATGCTGCAGGGATAGGTGGGGGCCAGTTGTCTCCAAGATCCTAGGGGGTGATTAGAGGAGGAGCAGCTGAAGCAGCAAAAGGGAGGGATGGTATGCTTGGGCTTAGGATGGCATCTCTGCCATGGTATAGGGAGTGCGAGGAAAAGGGGTGCAAGGGAGCATATGCATGGGCAGTTGGGAAGCGGTGGGCATAGAATGGCAGGGCAAAATGGGGGTGGAGGGGTGGCAGTCCCCTCCACCTCCCCTGTTGTTATTGTCCCCAGTGCAGTGAGGACCAAGGTTACATCGTTGTTGTCGAAGGTAGGGGAAAGGCCCTGGAGTTTAAGCATGTAACCCGAGAAGGCACTGCCAGTATAATCTTGGACGGTCAGGTTGAACAGCCCAATGCATGCGGATGTGTTGTTGGTAGTGAAGCATAGAGAGTTATTTAGGGGCCAGGAGCCATTGACTGATTCCCAGGAAGTAACTGGGTCCATGGTGGGGAGGCCAAGCATA